CAAAAACGTTTTCTTCCAGAAACCTAGTGCTTTCGTTAAGACAGCAACAAGAAAGTTAAACATCGCAATGGTATGGGCATTGTCCCTTATATCTAGCTTCCTATGTACAAATTCTCAGCCGATTTCCTTGAAAGAAACAATCGTTGTGACATTTATGCAGAGGCAATGGTCCAAATTCGAGGAATTCTAGTCCAACAAGAGAAGATCCTTGGATCTTTAGATCCACTTGGGGGATGGTGAAGAGACTCAAAAAGATGTTCAATGGTCAAAAAAAGTAAATCTCTCTCTCTCTCTCTCTCTCTCTCTCTCTCTCTCTCTCTCTCTCTCTCTCTCTCTCTAGACACACTTTTGTAATCATTGATATAATAATTACAAAATCATCAATTTGTAGTGTTAATTCTAAAATGTTGAATTCATGACCCCTAGGGGTAGTGCGGACCACAATAAATACAGTAATAAATTGTATTACATGTACCTAGTTTTAGAAATTGTTCTTACGACGAGCATGCTCTTGCGTATCGAATCAACTGAGATACATAAACTCTGCATGCAGATGATAAAGGTATATTGCTGCATAAGTAAGGGAAGTGGACGATAGAAAAGTTAAAGTCATAACATTTATCATAGATCTTGGTCACAAGATTGCCATTAATGTCTTTTTCAACTAAAATATCCAAATATGAAATAGATGTGCGACACATTATATCGATATACTCTTTTCCAACGCAAAAATAAACTCAATATATTGATATATAGATAAATAGAATGCCATAGAATTATAAATAGAATTTGCCAATTTTTTTTAAATGCTTAAATCAGCTTGTCATTCATCGTCTTTTAAGCAGACATATCGGATAATGAGACATTAGCTGAATTAATTTATATCCACTAGAAGGAGGAAATAAATACCATGTTTTGGGTTATAAAGATCCCCTTACTAAGCATGTTTTCTTGAGAAGAGGAAATTAAAATACTTGTAAGCAAGGGTGTCGGTATACTTTTCGACGAATATATTTCAAAAATTTTGAAAGAGAACACCAAAGATAAAAATTTTCCAGACATATCCTTCTTGCAATACCTTGTTTACCTACTTCTGTCTATGAAATAGAAAAAAAACAATAAAACAGAAAATCTGGATCTGTTTAAATATTATCTGTATGTCAAAGATGTTGTCACATTTTGCAACTTAATAAATCGTGTATATGATATCTAAGATGACTTAATCCATGCATTATTTTTTTGTACTAAAAATCTGAATTAGTGTTATTTAATAGGGTTTAGATGGTGTCCTATATTCCTCATACCCGTGAAATAAAAAATATGCTATCTATGTTACTGAATTCATGCATTTATTTTTGTTTTGTTTTGTTTTGAAAAGGGAAAGATGGAACTTAATTTTACGACTCGGCTCTTTTAAGAAGGCTCTATAAAGGTTTTTGAAATCAGACATTATTCATTTTAAGATTTAAGTTTTCAAAGATGGTGCATGAGAAGGATATGGAGATAACAAACGGTATTCAATCTCAAATTTATTCCGTAGACATAAGTTAATAAAAACGACAGAACCATATTCCCGACCGATTTTTTTATCCTACATGAACATAGGCTTAAAAAGGTTAGATAATGAGAGTAGTTGAAGTACCTTTCGAATTGTAATACTACCATTTGGAATTGTATGTTTAATTCCATAATTTGAAATTGAGTTGTAGAAAGAGTTACAGACTTTATGTTAATTATAATTGCACGTAAACAAGTGGAATTTTAACACGTTTTGTATAAGTTTTAGTTTTTGAAATGTCATCTCATTTAGATTGAACTACATCAGATTTTTATTGTTGAATTTTTAAAATTAACATCAATTGCAATTATTCTGTAAGAGTTTTCGTATTGGAAATTAATAAAATGAGCAAATTTATCAAAAAATATTATTCATTCAAAAATATTGGGGTAAAACAACATTACGAGAACAATGCCTTAGATTGCTCGGCCATTAGATAAGTCAAAAATCCATTCGATGCCGATGGAATTCTTCATGTATAACCCCACACTACAAGATGGAATATTAAACCAATTTGCAATTGACAAGCATTTAATCAGGTGTTTAAGATAGTCATGTTTACGATGAATTAATTTATCTCCTCTACAAAGAAATAAAAAGTAACATGCGTTCGTATTACAAAAAATCCTTAGTGAATATATTTTCAACAGAATAAAAAAATATATATAATACTTTATGCATTGGTGTCAGTTTCTCTTCGACCAGTTTGTTTTTAAAATTTAGGAAATAATTCCGGACTCCTCTTTTTTTCAGTAATTCAAGCTTTATGTCTACAAAATAAGAAAAAAATTGTGAAAACTTCTAAAAATACCTCTATGCATGTATAAGTATTTTCAGCTCTTAAAAGATTATATCCTATCTTTCCAAAACCCGATAAAGTCGGGTATGTGATATATTTGGTGATTTCATTGGGTCATTTTTCATTTTTCTCTGAAAAAGAAAGATCCAAACTTAATCTACTGGGTTATTTTAGTAAGGGTTGTGATATTATTTATATCTAAGAACGGTAACTCTTACACTGTGTTATTTGTAAATGTTATAAAAGAGTCATCTTCCTTGTCATTCATGATGATGCTGCACGTGTTGTAATAAACTAGTTCTCATCGCCATCTTGACTATGTTTATGCTACATGGTGTCAGAAGAAAAAAATTTTAAAAAATGGATCGGTTACCGCCGCCACCCGGACTTAACCTTACTGGAAACTTGGCGGAGAACTGGAGAAAATTCGATCAGCAGTACGATGATTACGCTTTAGTGTCGCAAGCAAAGGAGACAAAATCCAGGGGATGACCCTACGCCACGTGTTAGGACCGAACGCCATTGATGTCTACAACACATTCACGTGGACGGAAGATGACGATAAAACTAAGGTAGCAGATATTAAAAAGAAATTTAAGGAATATTGCAATCCTAGGAAAAATGTAACCTACGAGAGACACAGTTTTAACACAAGATCTCAGAAGGAGGGAGAACCGGTCGACGCATTTGTGACTGAACTCAAATAAAAGGTAAGTGTATGTGAATTAGGTGAACTTAGAGATTCTTTAGTAAGAGATCGAATCGTTTGTGGAATTCGAAGTGATACTGTGCGTGCCAGATTGTTACGAGAACGAGAACTCACACTGCAGAGTGCCATAGACATTTGTAGGGCAGCGGAAGTGTGGAATTGCAGCTCCGAGAAATGGGAGACGAGAAAAACGTTCACGCAGTCAGAGACAAGAAGCAGGGTTACAAACAGAAGTATGCGCAACCCCAGCATGAAGGTCAGTGTAAATACTGTGATTAGATCATCCTAAGGGGCCAGATCATTATCCAGCTTGTGGAAAATCGTGTAATAAGTGTAATCAGAAGAACCATTTCGCAGTCGTGTGCAAGTCTAAGTCAAGGACACATCCCGTGAAACACAGAAACCCGAGGAAAGCAAAAGTTCATCATATTGAAGAGAGCCTTGAAGACTCAGATGATGACTTTTTCATGTATTCAATTGACACACACAAGGATGATGATTGAACAGTGAAGCTACTAGTCAATGACGCAAAACCTATTAACTTTAAAATTGACACTGGAGCCCAGTGCAACGTCATGAGTTTAAAAGCATGCAAGTATGCCAACATTGACACTAAACAACTGATGCGTAGCAACAGCAAATTAGTTTCCTACTCAGGACATGCTATGAAAGCCTGTGGAAAAGTGCGTACGACAGTGGGACACAAGGACCGGTCTTTTCTTCTAGAAATACAGATTGTTGATGATGACGTCCAACCTGTTCTTGGACTCAAGTCCAGTATTGACTTGAATTTAGTGAATCGTGTGTATACAGTGAAGAAGAATCAAAGCACCAAAAGTGCAGAAGGACTGTTGAAAGAATATGATCATTTATTTCATGAAATTGGATGTCTTCCAGGAAAGTATGACATCAGGATTGATCCCAGCATACCACCAGTAGTTGCGCCACCTCGGAGAATACCACATACTTTGAAGGACAAAGTTTTAGAAGAACTACAGAGGATGGAATCTATGAAGATAATCTCAAAAGTAGAAACCCCAACTCAATGGGTCAGCCCTATTGTAGTCGTCAAGAAACCAAATGGGAAAGTGAGGATTTGTTTGGATCCGCGAGAAATGAATAAGGCTATTTTAAGGGAACACTATCCACTTAAGACCGTCGAGGAAGTGGCTGCTAACCTTAAGCATTTCACAACTCTGGATGCTGCATCAGGATTCTATCAAATACAGCTGACCGAGGAGAGTTCTTGGCTCACCACATTCAATACACCGTTTGGAAGATTTAAGTTTGAGAGACTTCCGTTTGGAATATCGTCAGCACCAGAAGTGTTTCAGAGGGCCATGTCTCATGTATTTGAAAATCAGCCGTATGAAGTGATTGCAGATGACATCTTGATGTGGGTAGATAGTGAACAGGAACACTTAGAAAAACTTAATCAAATACTGAGGAGAGCTGAGGATGTCGAATTACGCTTCAACAAGGACAAGTGCAAAATAAACAAATTGGAAGTTGAGTATGTGGGACATGTTTTAGATCAGATGGTGTGAAGCCCAGTGGTGAGAAAATCAAAGCAGTTCTAGCAATTCCAGCACCAGAAAACAAGAAGGAACTACAGCGATTCATGAGGATGATCAATTACTTAGGAAAGTTTATTCCAAACTTGTCTACCAGGAATCAATCACTCAGACAGTTGCTAGAAACGGACGTAGTATGGCACTGGAATGACGAACAGGAAAAAGCCTTTAATGATCTAAAGGGAGCAATAACCTCAACGCCGACATTGAAATATTTCGACGTTAATAAGGATGTCAAACTTTCCGTTGATGTTCGTCATATGAACTTGGTGCGTGCATCATGCAGAAGAAGCAACCTGTTGCTTATGCATCGAGAGCCCTGAATGCAGTTGAGAAAAACTATGCACAGATCGAAAAAGAATGCTTGAAATCGTGTATGGACTACAGAAATTCAACGAGTATGTATATGGTAAAACTGTGTTAGTGGAAACAGACCATAAACCACTAGAGAGCTTGTTTAAAAAACCATTGTCTAGTGCACCTCCACGACTCCAACGTATGATGTTGAAAGTTCAGCAACATGACTTAGTAGTGAAATACAAAGCTGGCAAGGAACTCTACATTGCGGATACATTGTCAAGATCAACAGGATCAGATCCAGCTGAGGAGCACGAGGAACAGTATGAAGTTCACGTGATAGAGAATATTCCTGTAAGTCAGGAAAAAGTGATGTTATTTCGGAGTGAAACTAAAAAGGACCCTGTTCTCATGAAGCTAAAGGACACAGTTCTACAGGGATGGCCAACAAATCGGAAGGATTTAGACAGTGAACTTACTCCATACTGGAACTTTAGAGATGAGATAAGCATTGTAGATGGCTTATTGTTGAAAGGAGATCGTTTCATTACACCAGAGCAACTTAGACCCCAGATGTTGAAAATTCTGCACAGCAGTCACCTGGGACAAGAGAAATGTACACAGCGAGCTAAATCAACATTGTTTTGGCCAGGAATAATCATACAGTTGAAGGACATGATAGAACAGTGCAACATTAGCAACCGCTACAGGAATGCGCAGCAAAAGGAGCCAATGATACCACACGAGATCCCAAATCGTCCTTGGCAGAAAGTTGCAGCAGACATTATGTTTTTTGGGAACACAAGATACTTGATAACCGTTGACTACTTCTCAACGTTCATAGAGGTCAACTGCTTACAAGATGGGAAAGCCGCCACCGTTATCAACATTCTGAAGCAACACTTTGCTCGACTAGGAATCCCTGAAGAGTTCATTAGTGACAATTGACCTGAATTCGCAAACCATGAATTCAAAAACTTTTCGAAGGAATATGATTTCCGGCATATTACATCTTCGCCGAGATATCCACAGAGCAATGGTATGGCTGAACGAGCTGTACAGACCATCAAAAACCTGTTTAGAAAAGCACAGGATGACCACAAGGATCCGTATATTTCGCTTATGGAGTTGAGGAATTCAGAAATACCAGGAGTGAAAATTTCACCAGCACAACTTCTATTTGGACGAACCACAAGAACACTCGTAACAACCGTCAAATCCAAATTGCGACCGATGGGATTTAACTCAGAACTTGTTCGTGAGGAACTCCAGAACATAAAAGATACACAAAAGTCTTTTTATGATCGCAACTCAAAACCCCTTAAACCACTTGACAACGGAGATGTAGTACGTGTTAGGATTTCAGGACAGTCTATCAAAACACCAGGAAGAATCGTTAGACCTGCAGATACACCAAGATCGTATTACGTACAACAAGGGAATACCACAGTAAGGAGGAACCGCCGAGACCTTATCAAAACCAAAGAACTGAGCGCAGAACAACCAGTAGATACCAAAGAGCCTGTTAACGGTCACTGTGATTCGTTTTGTGATAACTCTAACCGTGTGAATGGTCCGTCAATCAATTCTGGAGACAAACCAACTAGTGTTACCACATCGAGTGGTCGGGTCATCAAACCACCTTGCAGGCTGGTGACGGAGTGTTAATTCAAACAGTTAAAGTGAATTTCTGAATCTGATGTGTACATTAAAGGTTCATTTTTGTAGTTCAGTTTTGTTAGTTGAAGTTAAACAAAAATATAAAAATATTAGAACTGTTTTATTATAATGATAAAATGCAAATTTATTTCAAATGTAATTTTAACAAACATTTTACGTTAACTTAAAAGGGGAGATGTGACATTATTTATATCTAAGAACAGTAACCCTTACACTGTGTCATTTGTAAATGTTATAATAGAGTTATCTTCCTTGTCATTCATGATGATGCTGCACGTGTTGTAATAAACTAGTTCTCATCGCCATCTTGACTCTGTTTATGCTACAAGTGTAGGTCAACTTCGTTAAACTGAGACCTAACATTCAGTCAAAAGAGTGTACGTAAGCATCTGGATGCCAAAATTCTTCCGTAATTTTAATTTTATATATATTACACCATATAAGTTATATTTCTGTCCGCATTCTCCATACTACATAGATTTGTATACTTTAAAAAGTCAAGAAACGATAGAACCTGAAATACCTTTCAAATTATTACTGTTTTTGTTTATATACCAATGCATGATCGATCTCAAAAATTGTGTACACAATTCAAATATGTGAAAAGGGCATAAAACACCGTCACCAGGAAATTCCAGAGGTGGGATGTTTTGACTTGGAGAAGAATTCATCCTTTGTTGACCGATTGACCAGTCCCACCTACCCTGGGCCCTATGTAGTTATTAGGTACATGTACGCATATGGAACTTTCCGTATTTAATTCAGTATAAACCGAAGGCCTATTACTAACAGTTGGTCACCGGCCAAACAATTGATGAAATACGGACTTTAAAAGAGGTTGTTGAAATCCCTGTAACATAAATTTAGCAGTCAGTAGAATGTATCGCTTAAAAATTTATCGTATTCTCAGCAAGCTCTTGAGTAGTTCGGAGACATAAACGTCGTATACAGCTGATAGTGGAACATTACACAGAAATAAGAATATAACATTCGACTACACAATCACAATGTTATATATGTTAACCTTACCCTGTTATAAATGTTGTTTATTTTCTAAAGATAAAGAGGATGGCCTCAAGGTTTACTTGGATTTTTCGTTTTTTCTTCTTCTTTATTTTCGGTTTCGCCCATTATGCAAATTATACCACGTTTCCAGCTATCGTTGGTGTCCCTGATGTCAGCAAAACCATCAGCTTAAACACTTATGAATTTCAACTTTATACACAACCATTCTCCACGATAAATTTAAGTCCATCTTTTTGATATCATTGACATCTGTTTTGTTTTTTTCCAATAAAAATGGAACTCGTAAATTTACTTACCTTTTCATTGGTCATTTGCAAAATTATTTTGTTAAAAACATTCTGTTTGTACACACAAGTATTCTGAAGTTGATATCAAAAAGATGCTTCAGTTTCCACTTGACGATATCTATGTCATTTTTGGAAACCAGGACTTCCAACAATCTGTTGGAATTCCCAAGTTACTAATTGCACACCGTTATTAGCAGACCTATTTTTGTATTCATATGAAGCAGAATTTGTGCAAAATCTTATGCATGACAAAAAGAAAACACTTCCAGTGGCCTTCAACTCGATATCAGGAATGTCGTAATGGTAATATATAATGGTAATTTGGCGATAATTACTTACAATTTTCTATGTAATTGAAAGTAATGTGCAATGGCCAAATTTTCAATTACAAGTAATTGTAACTTAATTAATTACGTTTCAAAAAAAGAATGTAATTCAAAATTACTTTTCAACTACACTGATTATAAATCCCCTCAATCTCATAAACATTTTTTAACAAAGGTTAACTGATCTTTTGGTCCAAATGGTTTAATTGTAAAATTTCTTGAAAACAATTTAATATGTCATTTTTCCCTTTTTAAGTTAATTGCTGTGAAATATAATGCCACTTTTCGTTAAAAAAAAACTTTGAAATTAAATTAATCTTTGTAAAGTGTACAAATAAAATTAATATTTTGATTTTTTAATTAATTTATCCATATGAAAATAAAAAAAACCTAATAACTTTTTTTTGTTTGCCATATCTTCAGCTTGTGTTAGAAGTTATCAGTAGGTGATAAATAGTGTCCTGGGGTCATGTACTTATTCCTACATGTAAATAAACATTTTTCAAACGTTTTGACTTGTCTGTTGGTATATATACGAGGGGTGAACAAAAAGTTTGCAAACTAATTGAATAACTTCCATGAAAGAAACAATATTTGGTTTCAATGTTAATTATAGTTTAAATTAATCCTCTCCGATTTTAATGCACAGCAACCACCGTTTTGCGCATGCGCGAACCACGTGATATTGGCGGTCACGTGACCCCCTCCGTAGCGTTCTGTCACAAAAGTTGAAAGATTTTACTGAGTCTTATATTTCTTTCCATGTGAGTTAATTTTTATGACAAGAACAGTTCATTTGTCAGAAATGGTCAAATCTCGGCAACAGAATGGGTGGATAAGAATATCATTTCCAAAATAAGCATGGCGACCTTTAAAACACAAATCTTGTGTCTCGGGAGAGATTTTTATTCAAGGTGGATAGAGAACAGTAGCCTTATTTTTATCATATCTAATATATTTAAAATCTAAAGTAAACGATATTTTGGGTATTTAATAATTATATTATTGTTCAATTTTCAACTATTTTTCAAAGTGTAAATTTGAGGTCTTAGAGAGCAAATTGCTTAATTGAAAACATATATCTTTTCAAACTTGCTTTCACTGGGCAAGATGACAAGTATCATTTTTAACCATTTGCATTCCTTCACTAAAACGATAAATCCAATCATTAATTGAATTTATAGGAACTCATTTATCTTAGTAAACAGTATACAAATTATTATATGATACTGCAGAGGGATATCTAAGATATACAATAAATTGTACAGTCGTTTTTTGAACGAGTTAGACTGAGACAACCAATTTTAGTCACAAGTGACCTACATAGTGACGTCATTTTCAAATTGTGACGTCACAAACAAAGAGAAAAACTTTATTCAGCATATGCTACATGTATTTATAGACATTGTGTATGGCTATGTGTGTACCGAATTTCATTCTAATCTGAATTGTTGTTTTGTAGATATAGAGATAGTTTGCGAACTTTTTGATCACCCCTCGTACTCACATTTTGACTTTAAATTGTAGTTTGGCACAGAATAAGTCAAATGCCTACATTTTAAGATAAGTTTATATGATGCTGAAATAAGGAAATATTAAAGCAAAAAGCATCAATTTGTATGTTAAGCATAAATTTATTAGAAAGCTTAAAATTGATTTAAAATTTTAACACATAAATTAAGGTAAAACAATGAATAAACTTTCTACTGTTCAGTATTAACATGTATGCCTTTTTCTCACAAATACCCAAATGGAAAATTCTTTAGCATGGCAGCAAAATATTAAAATCTAATAGATATTAGGTTAGGGGACACAGTATTAAAAATTGAGTGAAGATGCCTTTTTTCATTGTCGTCTGAGTAATTTTATAATGAAGGACATGCTAGTGGAAAAAGATCATAAATTGGTTAGATGTTAATATCTGTACTCTTTAAAGGGATTTCTATTCATTTTGTAACTTGAATAAAACTGTTTTTATGTAAACATGTTAACAATAATTAGAAGTGTATTTATGAATTATTCTTAATGTTTAGTAGCAAAAGCATTTGATTTTTTGTCATTCAGAGAGAGAGAGAAGAGAGAGAGAAAGAGAGAGAGAGAAAAATGTAATGTTTCAAAGGTGAATATTAATGACTGTGGAATTTTTTATCATGAGCTCACAAGGATATATCGTATCGGCTTAAGAATGGAAATAACAATTGTTAATTGACAATACGTCGTCGATATCTAAAATCGAGTAGAAGGCCACAGAAAGTGTGTTCTTCTTTTCATGCATAAGATTTTGCACAAATTCTGCTTCGTATGAATTCAAAAATAGGTCTGCTAGCTAATAATAATTTATTTTAATTGAAAAAAATGAAAGATGAAATTTAATTATGCTACTAGGTTCTTTGAACAAGGATTCGTAAACGTCTTTGATATTGGGGACTAATATTTATTCCAGAATAATTATTAAGTTGCAAAGATGCGGCATTTATTATGTAGACTTTAATGTATAAAACAATAGAATTAAACTTAAACTTAATTATTATATACTTGTATCTTCACTCTAAATAGGCTTTAAAAATAGAAAAGGGAACAAGTTGAGGTACCTTCCGAATTGTAATACTACCCTTGGAATTTGAGTGTT